GAGTGAATAAGTGTTTGAACTAATCTAGCCAATTCTTTTAAAATATAATCTTCTGGCCATGAGTATATTCATCATTAATTTGTTTAAAATGATCTATATCGAAAAATATTAAACTTAAATCCTCCTGTTTATCTCTTGCACTGGTAAATGCCTCTTCCAAAGTTGTTAATAAATATGCCTTATTATAAATAGGCAAAAGTTTATCAGTACAGTTTTCATACTCTCCAGCAGTAAGGTATTTTAAAATAGTTTTTTTCAATGTAATCCTATCATCTTTTTCTAAAGTGCAAGAAGCTCAGAACTCAAGTTTTTTTTCATTAACATAAATTCCAGATTTAGATCCCAAATTGAAAATTTTAACTTTTCTCTAAAAACTCTTAATTTTGGCATGACGTTTACCAAGTTTTTGATCTTTTATAACAATATAATTTGATTCATTTCTTCCAACAAATGTATCAGTTTGAGTAAGGAAGAGATATTGGGTTTGGCATGTGTCTAGAACAATAAATAAACAAGCTTTTTTCTTTGATGCTGATTATTACTATTCCCAGAGTAAATATTGAGAATATAATCAGAATCTTGATATATGTGATTAAAATCAATATCTTCAAGGGTTTGAATGACTTCTTCAATTGATGATTGTATTTTAGGATTATCTTGCCATCACTTTCATAAAGCTCTTTGTAATCTATTGGGGTTGAGCTAACTGAAGCTTCCTTGTTTCTCATATTAGTGATTTTGCCACTAGACATTTCCCACAGTACCAATTCAAGACTATAAATATCTAAAGACTTATCGTTATTATAATTAACATTAAAACGCACTGAATCTATATAAATATTCTCAAAATTAGATTTTTTTTTGCAAGATCTGGTGTTGAGTCTTCATCAAGAGATTCAGATAAGCTAAATCTGATAATTACAAATTTACTATCATATTCTAATATGTGTTTTAGATTTTATTAAAAATATTTTATGTAAGAATTTAGTAACACTCAACAAGGATCAAGAATGTGTAGCAAAATTTTTTTATATTCTGCTGTGTCTAAACTAGTCTCAAAATACTTAAGATATTCTTGGCTTCAAATATTAAACTAATTACATATATTTTGCTATTTTAATAAAATTAAATACTTACCAATGCATAATGTACAATATTGGCCTGATGAATATATTTTAAACTATTAGCAATATCTGCAGCTATTCTTATTTTAGAAGTCTAATTTATTTTTGAGAAATTATTTGTTAAATATATTCTAAGATCTTTATCATAGCAGCTCTGAAGCACTATAGAGTAATAATTTTTAGATGATTTTGAAATATAACATGGTAGAGTGAATTATAGATCTTGGCTTCAGAATTTGGATGTTATAAATAGAAATAATATATTTACCTTTTGTAAAGCCATAAAATTTTACTATATATATATATATTTTTTTTTTTATACCTTCGCAATATTATAGAAGAGTAGATTTTTATTAGGTATTTTAGTAGTACATTCTTGGTTAGCGAAAGTACATATAGCCACATGTGCAACTTTTGATCGTCTAATTTAAGTAGTCTGCCTGAAGGTTCTACACTATATGCCATATCTGTAATCTAATTAGAAGATTATCTATTTAAACCCTCTGATGTTTCCAGTCCTGCACCACCATCACAATCACACCAATCTATAACCTTGTGCTGCTTCTTATTGAAGACTATCCAGATTGACATTTGCTATATTACTTGTACTCTAATTCTATAGATAACCCAGTAGAGTTCTCATATTACCAGGTTGCCCTAGAGAGGGTGTAGTATATACTCTCCTAATCTTTCTATATCTCACGCACTTCTAGATTAGGCTACGAATACCTTCTGCAGCAGTCAAAACCACCACTAGCAGTTAGTGTGAACCATTAAATCGCACAATTCCAGTATCCAGTGCTCTTGCAAGGTTCATTTCGATCCCAAAACCTACATCAAGCTGGTCCTTATACTGATCCCTCTCTAACTACCAAACTAGTTAGCTTGAACGGATCATTATACTTAGGCTTTATGTGCCTTCCGGTTTTACTTCTCTTAGTTCCTAATTCTATAGTATAGGACCTTTTCCTCCAGTGCGACTCTGGCAGCCAGGTTGGTGGACACTTCTTGCCCCAGGGTTTTTGTTTGGTTCTTTGGTTTCCAGTTTCAGACTTTTCTGCAGTATCATTGAAGATCTTCACTACTTCCTTACTCATGTCTTGCCAAATGGGTTTCAATTATTCTGGTTCCTTAGATTTGGATCGCTCAAGAACTTCAATTTCAAGATAGTAATACCAAGATTACAGATAATATACCCAACTGATCGTCAAATAATTGTTACCAGAACACAGGTCTATTTTTCTAAAAATGTCTCCAGTGGAATTCAAACTCTAAACCTGCTGCTTGGGGGTGACAACTTAACCACTACTCTAAATTATCACACCCTTTACTACATTTTTATTTTGGTCAATTCCTTTTAAATTCATTACCTAATTGGTTCAATTTAAATGATTTGTAATTTAGATTTCGAAATCTGAAACTTAAGATTATGTATTGCATCTTCTATAAAAGTAGCCACTTTAAGGGTAGGTAGTATATATAGTAGATTATTTGTTATATAATTTTAATAGTATAATAAAGATTTATATAGAAAATAAAATGTGCTACTAAATAAACTTCTTATAGCTGTAATTATTTTTAACCAAAATTTTATAATATATAGAAAAACTGTTCTTTTTATAATAGCAAAATTTTAATACACTTGATTCTCGCTAATATCAACCTATTTGGATCACTTTTATATTCATATTAATAGTAAAGTTTGATATATATAAGGAAATATTAATATAATTTTAGTATATATATATATTTTTTTTATTACCTTCGCAATATCACGAAAGGGTGGTTTTTATTAGGTATTTTAGAAGCACATTCTTAGTTAGCGAGAGTGCATATAGCCACATATGTAACTTTTGGTCACCTAATTTAAATAGTTCGCCCGAAGGTTCTATACTATATGTCATACCTGTAATCTAACTAGAAGATTACTTATTTAAACTTTCAAATATCACCTGTCCTGCACCATCACTACAATCACACCAATCTATAACCTTGTGCTGCTTCTTATTGAAGACCACCTAAATCGACATCTGCTATACTATTTGCACTCTAATTCTATAGATAACCCAGTAGGACCTACATACCAGATTACTTTAGGGAGGATGTAGTACATACTCCTCTAATCTTTCTATATCCCACACATTTCCAGATTAGGCTACAGATACCTTCTGCAGCAGCCAAAACCATCACTAGCAATTAGAATGAACTATTAAACCGCACAATTCCAGTATCCAGTGCCCTTGCAAGGTTCGTTCCAATCCTGATACCCACATCAAGCTAGTCCTTTTACTGATCCCTCTCCAACTACCAAACCAGTTAGCCCAGACAGGTCATTGTACTTAGGCTTTAAGTACCTTCCAGTTTTACTTCCCTTGGTTTCTAATTCTGTAGCATAGAACCTTTTCCTCCAGTACGACTCCGGTGGCCAGGTTGATGGATTCTTCTTGTCCTAGAGTTTTCATTCGGTTTTTTGGTCTCTGGTTTCTGACTTTTCGCAATATTGTTGAAGATCTTTACTATCTCCTTACTCGGATCTTGTTGAACAAGTTTTAATTATTCTGGTTCCTTGAATTTGGATCACCCAAGAGCTTCTATTTCGAGATGATAGTACCAAGATTACAGGTGATATACCCAACTGATCATTGAATAATTGTTACTAGAACACAGGCCTATTTTTCTAAAAACATCTCTAGTAGGATTCGAACTCTAGACCTGC